CCTGTGTAGCGGAGGTGCAGCATATCCCGGAGGGGGGTTAGGGAACAGATGAGAGGCTTCCATAACTTGCTGAGACAACCCCCCCCCTCTCTATTCATATTTCCTGGATGGAGTTCAATCTTGATGGCTTCCCTAATGATGCGATCCATATGTCAGGTCTTGGTGGCGAGGATGGAGGTATTCTGAAGCTGAATGCGGTATCGCAGATCGATGCTATGTTCAGCTACAGCTGACTTGTCCGGATGTTCGAGACGGATGTGCCGCTGATGCTCCTTCAACCTCATGTCCATGGAGAGGCCCATTAGGTCAATATAGACCTTGCTGCACCCGCATGGGATACTGTATACACCCTGTGTCCTTAGTCCCAGGCTATCTTTGACCGGCTGGAGGAAACTAGGTAATTTGTTTGGAGGCAGGCCCACTGATTTGATGATGTGCCGGGACAGCACTCTGCTGATACGGTTGAATATAGTCCCAACATAGGGAGGGAAGGAAGGAAGGAAGGAGACGGAGCCCAGTTTACATTCATGCCGGCTGATGTTGGGCTGACGGTTGAGAACTCTGTGGAGCTGTCGGTTGTTGTATCCGTTCTTCCTGAATACATCCCCCAGGAGCACCAACGCCGCATGTAGGTTGTCTTGATCACAAAGAGCTCTAGCCCAGTTTATCTTCAGGCTGGCTGATGTTGGGCTGACAGTTGTTGTATCCGTTCTTCCTGAATACATCCCCCAGGAGCACCAATGCCGCATGTAGGTTGTCTTGATCACAAAGAGCTCTAGCCCAGTTTATCTTCAGGCCGACTGATGTTGGGCCGATGGTTGAGAACTCTATGGATCTGTCGGTTGTTGTATCCGTTCTTCCTGAATACATCCCCCAGGAGCACCAATGCCACATGTAGGCTGTCTTGATCACAGAGAGCTCTAGCCCTGTGCACCAATGTGGAAAGTGCAGCTTGCTTGTTGGAAGGGTGGTGGTGGGACGCAGCGTTAAGGTAGAGGTTTGTATGGGTGGATTTGAGGTACACTGTATGGCCCAGAGAACTGTCAGGTCTCCTGTAAATATCTATATCCAGGAAGGGGAGGTGGCCCTCAGTTTCAGTCTCCATTGTGAACTGAATGCAGTGGTGGATACTGTTTAGGTGTTTACTTTAACATTTCTCTTGGACTCAAAAGGTAGAGGAATGAAAACTAACGTCATATGATCAAATTTTTGCAAACCAAGTAGGGGATAGTTGCAGCCATTGCAGAGCTTATCCTCCCAGCATGTTTTGGCAAAGTGGTAGCCAGTGGTGCCACATACATGGCATCCTTGATGTATCGGAAAGAAAAAGTCAAGGGGAGTAAGGTCAGGCAAACCAGGTGGCAAGTGATAGGCCTGCCTGTGCCAGTTCATTTGTCTGGAATCTTATGCTTTAAGGAGTCCATTACTCATGGGGAATATGAAGATACCCCATTTTTGTGGAACAGCATGCCATTCCAGTCTTTTTACAGATTTGAGATGTGTGTACACATTGCTGTTGGAACAAACATGTGCAATAATAGAATGTCTATTGCTAGGCAATGGATCAGTAAACATGCCTCCTTAACAATAGTTGCTGTGTTTTTTACGTCCATGAATAGTGGTTATAAAGAAGAGTTCTGAAGTGGGCAGTAGCGGTATAGAATTGGGTTGAGCTCTGGAGATGGCAGTTGAAGGCGACTGAGAAGAAATGGCAAGGAAGGGATTAGACTGTGCAAAGAAGACTGAGAACCCTAGTGTGTGTGCAGCGGTGAAATTTAAAGCAATAGTGCTGTAATTGCCTGTGGTTCTGAGCGGAGGGTATAAGGTGTCAATAAATACAATCACCCTATCAAAAACCCATCTTGCAACAACCCACCTACATGTGAAAGTATGTTCAGCGAAGAAAAAGATCCCAAAACTTCTTGTTCAGACAGAGCCCAAAACATGTTCACCTTTGGACTTGTTGTATGGTAGGTTACTTCATGATGAATGTTGTTCCCCAGAATGCTCATGTTATGTAGATTAACATTTTGTGATAAATAATTTGTGGCTTCATCACAGTGACGTCCTGCAACAATAGAAGAGATGTTGCAAGTGGCATTCTCTGTGGGTCCATTCTGAGGCTATATGACTTCACCAATTGAGTTCAATTAAGTTAGTGAGTGCAGTAGGCCACGCCATAGCTCAAGCAGTTAGGCACTGGCTTCTCACCGCAGCGGCCCGGGTCTGGTCAAGTGGGATTTGTGGTGGACAAAGTGGTGCTGGGGCAGGTTTTCTCCGAGTACTTCGGTTTACCCTGCCAATCTTCATTCCACCAATTGCTCCACAACCACCCCCACCTATCATCTGGGGCTGGTACAATAGGCCAGAAGTGGCTGCAGTACAGACTTAGTCCCACCCCACTAGCAATAAAAAAATAGCGAGTGCAGTGGAGTGAAGTTAGTTGGTTGGGGAGTAATCAGAGGACTGCTGCAGTTCAGTCATTGTGAGCCGTTGTAGTTAGACGCTGGTAGCTGAGGCATATGGATAGTTCGGGAACCTAAAGTAAGGGGAACATCCACTGTTGGAAGCCATTACCAGACAATGGCTAATGGATATTATAACAGACTGAGAAAACTAGTCTGACAGTGATTTGTGAAGTGTAGTCATGAATTGCATATTAAAGAGGTCACTAAATCTGATTACCAAACCAAATCAAACCCTGCCTATAGTTACTCCAACATGTGACAATATGCAGCCAGTCAGACTAAACAATTTATACTAGCTGTAAAGCAACATTTTTTTCCCTTCTAAAACATGATATGAAATTTTTGCACTTTAACTGCAGACCTAGACTCATGAAACCACAACACATAACTTTTTCTATCTGAGGTGTAGTTTTTACAACTGTGAGTGTAGTGCCTCAAGTGGACTGGAATATTCAATTGGCACAGTTTATAAACTTAATAATATTACACAGACATGTTTGGTTTTTATTCCTACATGCCCTTCAGTTTATGGGCAACATTACAGCAAAATAGTATACATTTTGTATATATACTCTGTATGTCATCAAGGGATGTTTAAAATATTTTAAATTAGAGGGAGGCAAACTACGAGGTACAGTGTTATATAAGTTATATACACATCCCTGTGTAGAGTTACAATTGGCAAGTGTGAATATTTCCTCTTGTGGCATGTTATTTTCAGTCAGTATTAAGTTAGAGAATTGATTTTAGAAAGTGATTACAAGTTTGATAATAAACATTAGCATTATTTTAGCTGAAGTGTGCAAATTGTTGAATATCTGCAATTATGAATGTATATATATGTATGTGTGTACACACAGAAGTATTTATCGTGTTATATACATAAAGTATGTATTTTCCAAAGTCTGGTTCATGTTAATATATTAATTATCTAACCATGTTGTCATTGTAACTTTTAGAATAAGGCAAAAAAGAAAAAGTAAAGCTATCCCTGTAACAGGCTGATGAGGCCCATAGGGTTGTGAGACGTTGAGGCTGCCACATTTTCTAGACATTTGACTCACAGGTGGTGGTGAGGTTGTCAGTCACTGGCCACCATTTATCTGCAGGAAGATTCCTGGTGCTCATTTCTGGTAGAGGCTGAGTCAACCCCAGGGTCATAGTGCAGCTGGAAGGATTAGGTTCGTTGAAAAATCCAGTGACCTCATCAGGAACTGAACCTGTGACCTTCTGGCTTGTGGCATAGTGCCTCAACCAGCCATGTTACTGCATGCTCCAACTTTTAGAATATAATAAGTTTAATATTTTATTTTCTAATGTCCATATACTTCTTCAGGCGCAAGGAATGTTTTTAATAAACCACGTTCATAATTCCTTCCTGTGGGTTTCAAATTTCAAAGAACATGCACCTTTTTGAAAGATCCTGCTCTGTTAAATTTGTTCAGTACATCACTTTCTTTTCAGTATGTATACCAAATAAACTTGTAATGTTGGCAGAATTGCACAGGTTGTTCACTGAATTTGTGCATTGTACATCATTAGTGCTATCCAGTGGTACTCTGCCTTCCTCAAAATATTCTCCTTGATGACACGTATGCTGCAGTTGATTCAGTCCAACCCAGCTCCTAAATGCTCAAAATATGTTACATAGGGCTATTAGTTTCTTTTTAAACACTGCTGTCCATAATATTGGAGATCGTTGTCTGTGAAGTTGCAGGACAAAAGACGGAGTTATCTGCAGTGAATGTAGAAAGCGTAACACAATATTTGATGTGCTTGATTGAATGAGCATAGTCTTGAATCTGAATATATCTTGTAACAATCAGTGAATTTATGTCTAGCGAGCCTTTGGATTATGCTCCTACACATTCATTCACAAATTAAATGGATCCCTGGCACTTTTACCAAATCACAAGTTACATAAATATACTTTTATCACGTCTGCAAGCCTATCATAAAAAGCATAAAACATAACACATCAGTATGTCTTGTCACCAGAGTGCAACAAAATAATAAATACTTTGAAAGTGCAGCGAAGTTCGGGTGTTTGGAAAAAACGGTAACAAATCAAAATGGCTTTCACAGAGAAACTAAGGTTAGGGACCTGTTTTGATTTTTGTGAACATTTAAGTGAACCTTCAAGTTCCATGAAAACAAAGCAATTTCTTGACTAACTATGCACCTTTCTACTTTTCAAGAAAACAACATTTAATTTTATTTAGAAAAGCAATACACATATATGATACATAAAGCCATATTCTACTATGATTCAGTGAATCATTAACCCTCTCTGCCAAAGAATTGATTTGAGTTTGTGAGCCAGACTTTGCTAGACTTGACATATGATGCTTGCGGGTTGGTTTTGTGTTACCTTATTGTTCATATATAAACCACATGGCCAAATCATATGAAATATTTGATTTTTGTCAGTTTCTATTCTCTGTCTTGTCTTCATCATAGTTGACTCATCTGTTAAGTTTTAAGAAACAAATGGGAAAGTTGTACACAGCCTGTGGCACTAAGTGGATTAATGAAATTTTGAAATGTAAGTTACAAATGTTGACTACATCAGACACAAAGTGTTGAGGCATACTTAATGGTTTTATTTCATTATATTTGTGGCTTATTTAATGGTACCATTAGTAGCTATGTAACTGCAAATGGAAGGATGATTTAATGAACAGTGAATTGTAAAGGATGTGAAAAGCAATGGTTGTGGCTTAATTTCAGGTACTATTCCAGCATTTTCCTGCGGAGACTGGGGAAAACCATAACAGACCTCAGTCATGATACTCAAGTGTCCCATCTAAGATTCAAACCAGACAAAAGCATTACTACATGAGCCAACTTGCTCCATAACAACAGTTTTATGTAGTAATGTCCCATTCTTTTGAAACCACAGATTAAAACAAATGCTGAGTATCCAATATATTATCAAAAGTGAGGAAGAAGAATTTCCCTGACTGATGAGTCAGGTGGAAGCTAGACTTATAGAAGTCTCTGTTAACACATTTTTAAAGACTAATGTGTTCTAGCAGTATCTGAGAGCATGTGCAGTGTGTGCATCCACTGCATGCATGGGTGTGCACGCTATATGGATTTGACTTTAGGCCCAAGATATACTCGCAGTATTAATATTTTTAAGAAAAGTGCATTTCAAAACTTCATGACCGATGTAAATGCTGCAGTTAAAAAGACAGCTGCTCGCTCTTCAGTTAATGTTCATTTAAAATCACAGTTCTTGAACCTATTTATACAGTTAGAAACCATAAATATGAATATAATGAGAGTATGTATGATAAATATATGTTATTTTGGTTAAGTAAGCTAAAATTTTACTTCTACAATTCTGTGATGATTGTACATCAATACAAATATATTTCTGGACATTATTCATCATACTGTTTTTATTTAAAACACTATCCTGTTACACTGGAAAAACAAGCAGACCTTTAGAAAGGAGCACAAATATAACCTGACAGAAGGTGTGCTTGAGAAATCAAAATTGGCCCAGTCTGCATATGAAGAAGGCCACAAAACATGTTTGAAAGAAGCAAAGGTCAGTTTTAACCAAACACCCCATACAGGAAATACGTGTATAAAGATTCTGTCCACGTGTCTCTGATGGGCCATCTGATCAGTCAACCCAGCTTGGACATCTCTCCCGTCTGAATCATTATCACAGCAGAAGTAAAAAAACTGCAACTCTGTCCAGTGTGGATTACGTGGTAAAATTTGTGTTTTTTATGTTGGCACCATACAGATCTCCATTGATGACTTATTCTAATAGTACTCGAGTGCTAGGCCTCATGTGTGGAGTTTTTTTAATGTTTTCTCTTAACTCTTGCAGATGGTTTGTGCTGTGCTTGGTTTGTATTCCCTGTCTCGTGTTGGTGTAGGTGTCTGGAGATGGACTAGCTCTATCAATTGGACCCAGGTGAGCAGGTTTTACCTGTTGACAGAGACAGATTCCAGTCTCTGAAACATTGTGTTTTAAATAAAATTAGAACAATGAATAATGTCCAGAAACGTAATATTTGTATGATTATTCTTATTTTGCATGTGTGTGACACTTGGTCTGTAGCCTGAGAACAGGTTAATTAGGATGATGTCCAACCCTAATAGCAAGTAAGTGACAAAGTCGGAGAATCTTACACAGTAAAGAACCTCATAATTTGTACTCCATCAAATGTTATTAGGATTGTCAAGTTGAGGAGGGTGAGATTGAGAGGGCATGTAGCATGCATAAGAGAAATATATATAGAATTTTCATCAGAAAACCAAAAAAGAAAAGTCTAGGCATAGATGGGAAGATTTTAAAATAGGGTGTGAGGGTGTGGACTCACTTGGTTCAGGACAGGGATGGGTGGTGTGCTCTTGTGAACTCTAACAAATATAAGAGTTCCACATAAGATGCAATTTGTGGAGTAGCTAAGCAATTATTTGCTTCTCACGTGGGACACTGCTCCAGATTAAGTTAGTTAATAAGTACCACATTTAGCAAAATTTCTTCAGTAATATACATTTCAAAACTTCCCATTTCTCTTCACCTTTTGATCCATTCTTCTGTAGAAATGCTCATACCAGTGTATAATTAAAGCTGTTTTTCATTTGGGTCTATTTCTCGGAATACTTCTACTCCAAGTGGATGACAGTTTTCATCTGGAACTGGTTTTCCTACTGGTGTTGAAACATCTCCTGTGAATGTTAAAGAAAGATGTATACTTATTATTTTCCTTCCCTAGAATTGCTGTAGTGTTTAACATAGGACAGGTTTCAGACTGCATACTAATACTTCCAAATTTTGTTCCAACTTTTCACAAATGGGAAAGCTTCTAAGTAGAGACTATGAGGAATCCAAATTGCAAGCTAGATCAATGTGAAGAGAAAATGTTTTTAGTACAGAGTTTCCAGAAGTGTTCTTTGTATTTTTATATACTGCATTGGTCTCCATGTTATGCCTTCATAATGAAGTAAAAAATGATGCCTTATATGGAGGTCATGTCTGTCCATCTGTGACCTGTAACAGGGCTCAAATTTTCTTAAAATCTGGTGTGAATCACTAAAAGTTGTCAGGCTATTCCAATTATGAATCATCATCATCATCATCATCATCAGTAATCTGTCAAGACGACAGGTCCACAGTCTCTTTCAAAACAATTCCTCCACTTAATGTGATCTAGAGCTTTCTCCTTCAAATGACAGTAT